GGGGTTCGGGTTCAGGGTTTAGGGGTGTTTATGAGGTTAGGGTTTAGGGTTTAGGGGTTCGGGTTCCGGGTTTAGGGGTGTTTATGAGGTTAGTGTTTAGGGTTTCAGGTCCCGGGTTCCGGGTTCAGGGGTGGTTGTGACTTTACACGGCTTGCTCGGAGTCCAATTCCCCAACTCCACTCCAAGTCCCCATCATGGTCGAGTTGGGGAATTGGAGTTCCGGATTCAGCGCTTCGTTAGGGTTTAGGGTTTAGGATTCCAGGGTTGAAAGTTAGGGGTTTAGGGGTTTAGGGTTTAGGGCTTAGGGTTTAGGGGTTTAGGGTTTAGGGGTTTAGGGTTCAGGGTTTAGGGTTGAGGGTTGAGGGTGCCCTTGGTTAGGGTGTCCCATGGCAAAAATTAGGGTTTACGGTTCAACATTTCTTGTGGGGTAAGGAGGAAGAAACGCCTTGTACACAGAGATGTCTTTCAGAATAGCCCTTCCAAGGCATCCGCAGCATCCCGTTGAACCACTGTCGATCTGGTTTCGTAGTTCTTATCTGTCTTTCACTCCAAGTTTCCAGAATATCCCTAAATCCTAATAACCCTAAAATCTAAAGCCATCCACGTTGCATGGCAGCTTCGGGTATGTCTGAGAGCAGCTGGAGTGCGGCTCGCCACTGTCCGGCCTTTTCACAGGCGCCTGGGCTTTAAAGTAACCACGGAGAACACAAGCACAAAGGTTACCCTAAACCCTAAACCCTAAACCCCAACATAATGCTTCCTGTAAGAAACGGGCACCAAAAAACTACTAAAGCATGGTACCCCAGAACCCCAGACCCTCACTGAACCCTAAACCCCCCTGAACCTCAAGACTCCTAAACCCTACTAAAGGGGTCCTAAAGTAGGGGCCTTAATAATTAGAATAGGGTTTTGGGGTATATTATACTAAAAAAAATCTTAATAAGAAACCCCCCAAAAGAGTAATTTTCGAGGCCCCTATATTAAACCCTAAACTCCCAGAACCCTAAAACCCTCGGCCCTGAGCATGATATAGAACCCAAGAACCCGGGGATCTGATATAAACCCTAATATAGCCAATAATTAGATAGGGTTTGGGGTATATTATACTAGAATTACAATAAGGAGCCCCCGAAACCCTATTCTAATTACTAAGGCCCCCACATTAAGCCCCCCAGAGCCCAGGGCGCTGATGCCGGAGTGGATGCAGATGGAATTCGGCTCGACGTCCGAGGTTGCCATGTCTGAGAGAAGCTGCACTGCCGCTTGCCACTTTCCTTACTTCTGTTTGGGGCTCAGGAATTTAGGGTTTAGGGTTTAGGGTTTTAGGGTTTAGGGTTAGGGTTTAGGGTTAGGGTTTAGGGTTCAGGGTTTACCTAGACCCCCCAACTACCGTCTAATATGCCCCAAATACCCCCTATTAAGGGCCATATGGGCTCTTTTAAAGGACCTCTGGTGGGGAGGTCTTGCTAGGATGCAGGGTTTAGGATTTAAGGTTTCGGGATATTCTACGAGAAACTTGACACTCTAGACCCTATATCCCAGTTCCTCATGCCTGTCGGAGTACATGGGTAATTATGTCATGAACTCCACATAGAGGTTGAAAGAAGGCCCACATGCTATATACTGGACTCCCCCCCCGAGTTTCCATCCTCTGCGCAGCAGGCGAGACATGCCCCGAAGCTGATGACGTCCGCCTGCGCGATGGAAGGTAAGATCTCCGAGAAGAGGTGCAATGCCAGGCGCCAGCGTCCACCACTGGCAGTGGCTCTCATCACAGCGTTGTAGCTGATCAAGTCAGCCGATAATCCTCACGAGTCCCAACGAAGTAACAAAAAAACTGTGAAGGACCGGGGGAAACCTTGAATGACCAACACGAGCAAGCCCCGAATCAAGGACGCTGAAAACACCCCTGACCCCCAAAGCCCCTTAATATAGGGACTTTCATAATTAATCATACTAAGTACCATATCAAGGAAAGTTGTAGTATCATTCTACCCAAAACCCTATTCTAATTATTAAGGCCCCTGCATTAATCCCAAGCCCTAAGCTCTAAAGCCGCAAATCCTGAAGCAACCTCTGAGGCGCCCCACAAACGAACCCCCCAAAACCCTCAGCTTTGAGACCCACCACCCCTAAACCCTACCCGGAGGCCCAGGGGACTGAGTAAGTAGGTTATAAGTAGAGTTATACCCTAAGGCTCAAAATAGCCCAAAAGCCTTTTATAGTATGGTCTTTGGGCCCAAAAGCCTTAACATATGAGTCCTTAGAGCCTTAGGGATAAGTACCCTGAATGGAGCTACCCGAATTATAATCTCACTTATAACCGACTTACTAAGTCCCGGGGCCTCTAAGTAAACCCCAGAAGGGCCCATGTAGTCACATTAAAGGGTCCTTAAAGCAGCCTTACAGGACAAGTCTCCCAGAGAGGGCATGCCCACCAAGAGGAGATGAAGAGCTTGCTCCCACTGCCTCTTTTTCCAGGGTTTAGGGGGTTAGGGGTTTAGGGGTTTAGGGTTTAGGGAACTCTACGGCTCTAAGAACTCAGAGCTTTAAGGCTATTGGGCTGAAAGACCAAACTCTATAAGGCTTTGGGCCATGTTGAGCTTTAGGGTAAGGGTTTCGGGTTTAGGGTTTAGGGCACTGTTGCTTAAGTTGCCATATTAGAGATACACAGAAAAAACGCTTTTGGTGACTTAACGGCACCAAGATTTATCCAAACACAGGCAAAGAAAACTAGGCTCGGATAGACTTATAACCCCAAACCCTCTTAACTTATAAGCCCTTGACCCTCTTAACTTACAATCCCTAAACCCTTCTAGCAGGAGCCCAGCGGCCGGGCTTTTTCACAAGCGCTGAGGCTGGCGTTGCAACTGATGAGGTCCGGTTGGAGCCCAGCTTCCGGCATCCTGCATAGTCCCAAGTCCCAAGCCCTCTGCGTAAACATGTGTATAGATATGATAGCGTAATAGTAATAACAATAATAGTCATAATAATGAACATAAGAATAACAACAACAATAAAAACCGTAGCAATAAATACGCTGATGAAAATGAATAAATAACTATGTGTGTGTGTATATACGTACATGTAACACACACAAGCAAAGAAGCCTTGTGCTTTGGGGTCTTTCCCTCTCTGAAGTGCACAGCCTACCATAGGTACCACATCCCAGAGTCCTACTTTAAGTGCCCCAGTCGTTTGGGCATCAACGGACAGTAGCTGAAACTCGTGCAAGGGCCTAGACGACTAAGGTCTTGCTGGATACTATGCTAGCTATATACAATGCTCTACTCTAATACTCCGCTGTACCGTACTCCGCTGTACTGTACTGTACTGTACTGTACTGTACTGCACTGTACCGTACCGCACATTGCTGTACTGTACTCTGCTGTACTATACATATATATATATATATACATATATATATATATATATGTAGGTGAGCATGATCCCGAAAATAAAATTACTAAAGATTCTGACGGTTGTGTTGCGTACCGAACTCTTGACAAGCGAAGTCCCACGCCTTCTTTTGTAGGAGCCTCAGACACTCGAGTTAAAGGCTCTGCTGTAGGATATCGGGTTCGTGTGATTGAAGTTGCTCCAGGATTTGGGTATTGGGGTTGATGCATGTAGAAAACATATGTAACTACGATAAGAAAAAACTTTCTCTGTGCACGTATACACATGCATGTGTGTGTGTGTGTCTGCGCATATATGCGATAAACACATATACATACACATGCATACATATTAACATATACATCTGTAAATACACATATATATATATATATATATTCACATATGTGTATGTATATACACCGGCATCAATATATACAAGTACAAATGCATGTGCATACTTATACTTGTACTTATACCGTCCTTAAGCACATGGACATAATCGTATTCGCGGATATGTATATGCGAAAACATATGTAACCATATGCATTTGCATATACTTGTATGAAAACAAACACATGTACACATATATGTACACATTTGTATGCATACACATATCGTTGTGCAAGTATCCGTTAAGGTACAAAAAATCTTCGGCGCCGGCGTTGAGCGCCAAAGGGATGGTGAGTATAAAGAAGCTGGCGACCAAAGCCAAAGCAAGACGACAATGAAGCGCTGCCGTCGGTTGCCTTGCATTGCCTTTCCTGCCCTAAGCTCCAGCTGAAACAGGGTGATGACTCGTATCGACACTGCCAGCATCACCAGTTGCCGGTATCTTTGTGTATATGTACATGTAAATGTAAAACATGTTGTATTATGTAATATATGTTTGGCATGCTTGCGTATGTGTATATACATATAAGATATATATGTATATATATGTATATATACACAAATATTCACGCGCACACACACACACACATTCTGACCATAATGCATGTCTTTGTCGCAGTCTCTCCCCGCGTAGGGAACGAAGCACGAACAGCTTGGTCTGATGAAGTATGTGTACGTACCACTGTATGTGTGTGCAAATACGAACAGTGCCACTGAGACTTTTTATATTATGCTTATTGCGCAGTGCTTGTGGGAATGCAGCTCCTTTTCAACAGGTGTAGTGACATCTGCCACTGTCCGGCTTTCTCACAAGCACTCAGGGCTGCGTTGGCACTGATGACCTAGGCTGTTGAGATATGAATCTTCGCGCTTGTCTGTGTTCTATATCGGCTTTCAACCTCCGACCCACAGCTTCTAGAATAGACTCTTGTCAACATGCCTCCCTTTCAGAAGGGTTCTTAAATAACGATGCTGATATTGCATGCCTACAGGAAGAGGAGTTTTTCAGTACAGGTCTTCGAAAAAGGTAAACACAAACTACAGCTTGAGCCCTATAGAAAGCCCTTCCAAAATAGTTTAATGAAACAAGTGACGCTCGGAAGAATTCTGCCTGCAGACATCCCGGAGAGCAAAGACACTGCCAGCTCCCACTGACCTGCCTTGGAACAAGCCTTGGTTGTACTTTGCTCTGTTGAAGAGGAGCATATCATTGTCTGGGTAGGGGCATTTTTAACTCAAAAGCTACCAGACGTACCTAAACCCAAAGCCCTCAACCCTAACCGTAGACCCCAAAGACCTGGGCCCTGAGTCCCAAACTGACTTCAAAACCTGTTCAACCGACCCGGTGTAGAAGTGATGCTACGCTATAGGAGTAGCTACATCGTTTTTGTGTGCTGGAGTTGGAGCTGGTGGGCTTCGGAATGAGGGCTTTTGTGGCAATATTGAAAGACTTTTAGGGTTTAGGGTTTACGGCTCAGGGTTTGGAACAAGGGTTTCGGGCCAGGGTAGCAGGGTTTACCGGTGACTGAACAAAAGTTGCTAATATAACAAGAAAAGGCTGCTGGCTGGACGACAGAGAAACGCTCATGCTGGCGTTGTAGCTGATGGCATCCCTCTCGACCGCCCTGGCTGGCAGTTCCCAAAGCAACTCGAGCGCCTCCACCCAAAGGCCCGCTTTCTCGCAGGCGCTGATCACCTAGGTCTGTCTGGTGCTTGTTTGGGAATGGGGGAATGGATCCCTCTGATAGTCCCTTAAGGTCCCTTATAGTAGTCCCTATAGCCCGTTCCCCATTCCCTACTAAGCACCAGACAGAGGTTGTTAAGCTCATGTCGTAAGGCAAGCGAACAGTTAGAAAGTTTCGTGTGCAAGCCGAAACACAGTAGTTTAGTGTTTAAAATAGGGTATACTTCCAGTGTTGGAAAGTTTCTTGCGCAATCCGAAACACAGCAGCTTGGGGTTTAGTATAGGGTATAACGAAAGCCTGTAAAAGGAAACACAAGAGTTTTATAGGGGTTAGGGTATAACGAAGGCCTGTAAACATAACTACTGGCTGCTAGGTCGCAGCATTGCAGGTAATGCCCGTGGGCTCGACGTGCATTCTTTCCAGGTCCTCCAGCAACTGACCAGCCTTTTGCCAGCGGCAGCTCTTTTCACAGGCAGTGATCGCGGCATTGAAACCTGTCTTCCCCATACTCATCGGAACACGAGGCTTCCCTTTCGATAAGAAGCGGTTTATATATAAGAACTCAAACGTACATAAACTTGAGTTAAGGCTTAGAGTCTAATGATTGGGGCTTCCGGGGTTGAGGTCTGCACAAGGAAAAACAAGCCTATCCTAATGGGTCCAAGTACCATTATAGTAGGTACTTAGTAGTTATCTGGGCCCCAACAGTATATACTATGCTATTACTTGGACCCTTTGGGTATTGAAAACGAAGGGGCTGACGATGTTTGCCTCAACTGCCGCTTCCGGCATCGCGGAGAGCAGTTGAAGCGCCTTCTGCCATTCACCGCCTCGTGCCAAAGCGCTGATACCTGGGTAGTTGTCAAAATTATGGTCCCTTTTGGGTACCCTAAATAATAGGTGCCGTATTAATAAGGACCCAAAAATGGACCATATGGGGTGCCCTAAATAATCGGTGCCGTATTATAATAAGGACCCCAAAAGGGACCATAAATTTTGACAACCACCCATATAGACCTTAAGAACCCAAAACCTACTTTTTTGTAGGGTCCCCCTAAATAGTAGGATCCTTCGGAAACTCCCACCTGAGGCCATCTCAGGACGGCCAAAACGCACCCAAGTTCCCCGCAGATACCAGCATCCCGACCCCACGAATTAAAGCAAATGCCGAACAACAAACCCTAAACCCTACCTTAACCCCAGATAAGCTACCTTTTTACGGATTGATAGTAGGGTTTACTAATTCATAAGGAATCAAAAAAACCCTTAGAACCCAAACCCCAAAACCTTGAACCCTTAATAAGGAGCCCTAAACAATTTAAGGTGCAGGTAAGACCTACCGTGACCTACCTATAGTCTCCGTTGTCGTTCCTTTTTGGGGTTACCTTTTAGGATCCTTACTATAAAATGGGTTAAACCAAAAACAGAACTACAATGGAGACTATAGGTAGACCCTCGACCCTTCAGAACCTCAAAGTCGGCATCCCTCTAACCTGACACCACCAACACAAGCAAGGCTTTGGGTTTAGGGGGTAAGGGGTTTAGGGGTTTCTAGGGGTGTAGGGGTTTAGGGTTCAGGGTTTAGGGGCTTTGGGGCTTCGGGTTTAGGGTTTAGGGTATGGGGGTTTAGGGTTTAAGGCTTAGGGATTTAGGGTTTAGGGTTCAGGGTCCATGTACACACAGTACTTAAATATTTCGGCCCTGCAGTACCTCTATAGGGAGTACTTTTAGACCACAGTATACGGTACTGCCCCGTTAGAAAATAATTAGTTCACAGACATTAAATAAATATAGAATAGATATATATGTATATATATATATATGTATACATGTATTTATCTACTACTTGTGAACTTATTTATCTATTTAACTATTTAGAATTATTATTTGTGTGTAGCCCGTAACACCTGGACCCTCCGGAAATGCTGGCCGAAAGACAGGAGCTGACGCTGACAACATCGGGTTGCAGGTGCACTTCGAAGACTTCCGCGTGGAGCTGGAGAGCCACTTCCCACTGCCCAGCCTGAGGGTTTAGGGTTTAGGGCTTAGGGTTTAGGGCTTAGGGTTTGAGGCTTAGGGTTTAGGGTTTAGGGTCTATAGGGTTTAGGGTTTAGGGTTTAGAGCCCGCTGTGGGAGGCGAGTAATGTAGGGGCCTTCATGATTAGGATAGAGTTGTTGGATTCCTGTATAGCTATCATACTTCTCACTGCCCAGCCTGAGGCGCCGCTAATCTAGGAGCCTTAACTAAAAGAATAGGGTTTTGGGGTATGTTATACTACACTTATAACCCTAGGCCTCAAATTCGCCCAAAAGCCTTATATAGTATGGTCGATGGGCCCAACAGCCTTAAAACAAGAGTCCTTAGAGCCCTAGGATAAAAAGGAACCCCCCAAAATAGCATAGGTACTGGTTATAACGCCCCCATATTTCGGGATGCGAGTATGAAGTTTAGGTCTTTGTTCGGACTGCAGGGGCCGGCGGTTGTAGGGGTTGGGGTTTAGGGTTTATAGGGTTTATAGGGTTTATAGGGTTTATAGGGTTTATAGGGTTTATAGGGTTTATAGGGTTTATAGGGTTTATAGGGTTTAGGGTTTAGGGGGTTTTAGTCCATAAAGATTATCCTACGCTTGTCCCCTGGTGCAGAACCCCCTGTCCAACCCCTTATGAATCAGTAAGCCCTTAATTCTGGGACTTTGAACCCGAAGCCCACGACCCTAAACCTGCAACCCCCCCAGGCCCTGAACCTTAAAACTGAAGCCGAACCACGAAACCCCTAAATCCTAAACCCTGAACCCCTAAACCCTAAAACCAAGCCCCTGAACTCTAAACCCTAACTACCCTAAACCCCTAAACCGCTAAACCCCTAAACCCCCAAAACCCCAAAAGCCNNTAAACCCCTAAATCCTAAGCCCCGAAGGTCAAGCTTGAGCTTTGCCTTCTCGGCAGCGCTGATGCCGTGGCTGTAGGAAAGAAGATCTGGCAGCAGCCTGGTCAAGCGCAGGCGCAGGATGATCTTCCCTGGCCCCGAACCTATAGTCCGATTGGGCTTAAGGGTTTAGGGTTTAGGGTTTAGGGTTTAGGGTTTAGGGTCTACCTATAGTCTCCATTGTAGTTCCTTTTTTTGGGTTTAACCAAGTATAGATTTAGGATTTTTCAGGTATCCCCCAAAAGGAACTACAATGGAGACTACAGGAAGAACTTGTCTTTTTGAAGGAACTCTATGAGTAGTTCTTTAAGTTAGGGTCCCAATTGGGGTCCTTTTTTATAAGCGTGCCGTACTATATTGGGGACCTAAAAGGGGAGCCTTATTTAGAAAACTACCCATATCAGGAAATCACCAACCCTGCTACGGCTTACCTGAATCCCCAACAACCGACCTTTGCAGGGCTCCTGATTTCCTACTGTAAGTCTGCAAAAGGGTAGGTTTCCTGGGCTCAGGTAGGGTTTTTGGATAGTGATCTTAGGATTCAGCCAAAAGGTTCAAGCAAAATGGAACTCAGTAAGTACTATACTCGAATATATACTGCAACAAGGTTCAAGGTTGAGAGCCTTCTGGGATTTATGGCTTAGCTAGGCTGGTGGATGCCGGAAGTTTGGATTTCCCGGTTTGGGTCTTGGGCCTTGGCGTTTAAATCGCTGAAAAGTTGCACCCGCATAAATGCTGAGTTATTTGTGTAAGCATGTATGTATGTGTGTGTATATATATATATATATATATTAGACCCTGGCTGTAACAGTAACTCCTTATGGGGTTTTGGGTAGCAAAGTGAACACTT